TTGTGTTTTTATCCATCTGAATTCTGATCTGGACTCTGAAGTCAGTGTCCAGTCTTACAAACGATGGAAGATATATGACCCACACTTGTACAGCACCTTTCAGAGTCAGAGGACTCCAAAGCTCTTTACAATACAGTGTATCAATCATCCATTCACACACACATTCACACACTGGTGGTGATGAGCTACAGTGTAGCCACAGATGCCCTGTGGCCACACTGACAGAGGCGAGGCTGCAGAGCGCAGGTGCCACCGGTCCCTCCGACCACCACCAGCAGGTAACGTAGGTTAAAAGTCATGCCCAAGGATACAACAGCAGCATTCTCTGCTGGGATTGATCCTACAACCCTTTGACTACTGGACAGCCCACAGGAATTGACTCCAGTTAAACAGCTGCAGTGCCAGTGTCCACGCCTAGCTTGATCATTCTTCACCAGCTCTCAACAACGAGATCTCTACACACGTAGAAGCACATCACCATGTCCCACTGTGGGCTCTGAGGGAGCAACTGATGTTTCTGTAAAATGACATTCATCTACATGAGCTCTTTTATTCACACATGAACATAATTTAGATTCACTTGACAACTCTGTAAGTGAATCCATGAGAATAATTAAACAGTATAAATACTTTATGACAGTGTCAACCTAAAGATGAGGACCATTTCATTCCCTAAAAGCCCACAACAGTCCAACACTGGCCCTTCGATAGGAATCAGCTGTTTTTACACAACGTCACTGTGAACAGACAGCATGTAGGTGAATGTCACTAAACACTGCTTAGTGTGTTTTACTGTAGCTCATGGAGCAAACAGTACACCCAGATCTACACACACTCGGAAGTTGGAACAAAGGTCAATTCTGAAAAACACATCTTTCAGCATCCTTGTGATCTATTGATAACATACTGCTGATGTCATTTAAAGGCCAAGTTCACTGAGAAACCATGTTTTACTTGTAATTTTTAAAATGATCAGTAACCCAGAGCGAACAGTCTTCTACCCCTACTTCCTGCATTAGCTGCCAATAGAAAAACACTTGGTTCAGAAAATCCTGACAGATCTATGTCACACTTAACATTCATAGATTCACCCATCTTGACTCACGACAGAGAAGCCGATTGTTGGTTTAGCATCCAGGAAAAAGCAGAGAACGTCTCAACTAGTAGAAGCTAACCATTAGTATTAGCAACTCCACCACAAAGCAGAACTCCTCCAGGTTTGTGTTATTTGTGGAGGTGAAACATCGGTGTTACAAAACAATCAGTCAGCGGCAGGTGCGCAGATAGGGTGGGGCACGGGGGGTGGGATCCGTCCCCCCCAGATTCAGATCGACCCCGATCCATCCCCCCCAACTAAGGCCAGGAAGAAAACAAAATCGGAGGTTTAGTGCTTGAAGCTCATTTTTCCAATTACACTGAATGCAGCATGACGTAAACAAACACTGACTCCAGAGGCTCCAAAGTGGTTGCTGCTAGGATGCAGGATGAAGCGAAAAAGGCAAGCAACGATTACTGCGTATTTAAAAAAGACCAACAGTGTAAGTAGACGGGACCGATCTGTCTGTTTATGCATGTTGGTTCTAGTTTCAGTACATTGTTGTCGGTGTTGGGACTTACTCGTTATAAGTGCCAAAGCCTCATTGCTGACTTTAACAAGTCTCATCTACAAATATGATCCTCATGAAGTTACTACTTTACATCACAAGATAGTGGAGATGTGGAACCTTCAGACTGAGCAAAGTTTGGGAGTTTTTAGAGCTTGAAAAATGCCTCCCGCCAAGAGGCTCCCGGTCGAGGAGAGGAGGAGATGCGCACATTATGAAGAGCACAAATATTAGATAAAACGTATAATTGCCGGCAGGTCTGGTCTTTGTTGACTGATCACTTAGTCTGGTAATGACTGACTCTGATTATGAAGCAGAATATTGACTCTGATGAAGAAATTCACTCATCCAGCTGGGAAGATTGACGCTGCTGCAGCATCAGACAGCTGGTGCTGCATGAGAGGTGTGTGGAGTTTACAAGCTCCAAACGTTGGGTTTGATGTTGGTTTAACCTTCTCTGGGACGTGATGGATGTAGAAATGATGGTAAAAACACCGCTAACATGACAGACGTAGTGACAATGTAAAAAAAAAAAGCCGTAAAAAAGAGGCAGATACCGATGTGTTAATATGGAAGTCAAGTGTGCCACATAATCATTAAAAAAAGTAAAATATAAAATTGTAAAAGAGATTTTTATATTTATATATAAATAAAAACTTTCAAAATATAATGAAAATTTATAAATAAACGTAAAAATATGAAGGAACATCTGTTGGTCAGGCTGAAAAGTTTGGCAACCACTGCTCTAAGTGATAGCTGAATATTGTTTTTGAAATATATTTTATGTGCAGTTTTTTAGAGCTTTTATGTTTTCTGTAAAGATTGGTATGCTGAAAATCATTTAATGTTTTGCATAAAGCATGAGGTTTTGGTTAGTACTTGATTGGGAGAATAACAAATGACTAAATTAAATAGTGGGGCGCCTCTGTCAGTGCGCCCCAGGGCAGCTGTGGCTACATCGTAGCTCATTACCATCAGTGTGTGAATGTGTGTGTGAATGGATGAATGATAAACTGTAGTGTAAAGCACTTTGGAGTTCTTACTCTGAGAGGCGCTATACAAGTGCGGATCATTTATCATTTATAGTGTTGATCAGGCAGAGCTTTGTTGCATAATGGCTTCAAACACGTATATAATAGTTAGTTTTTACGTAAACTGTTGGATGAAATTACACAAACTCACTGAGCTCTAGTTAAGGCGCTTGCAATAGTGTATGTGTGTCTGTGCATTGCTGTTAGCCAATCAGAGAAGAATTGTCTCAAAATAGGAAATACGACTTCAGATCCTGCCGTGTTCAACTCCCCTCTGCTCTGGCTCACTTCTAACTCCAGAAACAGGAGCACCAGAACTTTTAAGCAGCTGAGATCGACTCACAAGGCATTCATGCATACTAGGGACCACTGCAGATGTGTTGAAAAAACAAGTGAAGTTGAAGCCCAAAAATAACCCTTGCTATAGAATCTTCTCACAAGTAACAGGTTTTCTTACAGTAGCTAGCACACTTCTAGAACAGTGTTCTCTGAGGCTCTGCCTGGAAGCTGCTGGAGCCACACAGCCCCTAATGCTCTGGTGACTGCTGGCACTACTGAGTTCTTGAATTTGCACGACTACTGTCAGCCCTTGGTTTTCTTTGAGACTACAGCATTCCCTCTTCATGCTGCCGCTGTTTCCTGTGATCACCACATCTATCACCACTGCTTTGTACGGTTGTCTGTCAACCAGCCTATCATCCACCAACACATGGACAAATGTTTCTATACATCATTCAAGCCATTTATTGGCTGCATCCCGCAACACTCAGTTATGAGCTGGACGGTGGCAGGAGCAACTTTTTCCAGTCTGCGTGGTGGGTCTGATGGGACCTGTCCTTCACTGCTGTCCTGAATGAGTCCATTAATCTCTAGCCACTGGTAAGATGTGTTGGTCACTTTCCGGATCTGCCCGTGCTCCGCCTCTGCTAAACTAACAGGCTGTAAAAAACCCAAGGTTTACATGGAACCCCATCCTTCAGCAATGGTGCTCAGGACTCGCAAACAGGGTAGAAATGTAATGGACCCTTGTGGAAGGGGGACAAGGTGAAGTGTGTCTTGAGAGTGGTCACACACCCAAATGTGATCCGATCACCCAGGATGATTGTTAATCTGACTCATTGCTACACAAGGCTGTTGGCTACTGACCTTCACACATCTACACATCTCTCAAAATATCCTCAAATTCAAAGAAATTACAAGGTCTTACATTTGGAAATAACGTGAAAATGGTACCAACTCAACGGCAATGACGTAATTGTTGCATGCGTGGGTGAATGGCTGTTGTGTTGTTAAGTACCTTGGGGGGTCCGGATAATCTAGAAACTGCTATAAATACAAATCATTTACAATTCACCAAAATAATACATAGAACAATAATATTGATGTTCTGTTTAAAATAAAAAAAAAACTAATTTGCTTGAGTAGTCAGAAATACTTGAGTCAGATGTGACTGACCAGAACTAAAGAAAGGTTTGGTACTTCTGAGAGAAATGGCTTTGCTATCAGATGTCCTGCTGATCCTGATCGTGTGTCAGCAGCACAGCTTTCTTCCAAAAGGTCACTTCTGGAAGAGCACTAGCTCTGAAGCATCTGCAGCTGCACAGCTGAATGAAAATATGCTACTTTTGACTTATTTGATCAGTTTAAGTTAATATGAAGAACTGTAATGTCTAGGTAGAGACGCTGACCTCTTAACAAAGAGCAGAAATCAATCTCCTGAACAATAAAACACTCCCTCACAACTATCAGCCACTGCTGCGTGGAAGGAGGGCATAACTCAGCTGTAAATGTGGTATTTAATCACCTGCAGAACTATTTACTCACTCAGTAAAGGTGAGACGTATTCAGCTGTTAAGAGAAGTGTCTGAGGGATTGAACAGTTGCAGTGAGAGCCATATTGTGATGGATGCATTAACCCAAAGATAACACAATATTGGAGTCACTGACCTGGCCTCCAATCATAGGATAATATCAGCAAGTTCATTAATCTTAATAAATGAAATTATCCTACACAATGCACCAGCCAGACCACCTTAATCTGTGTGGTGGAGTGGCTGGTGCGAGTGGAAGCAAGTCTCCTTTACATCTTCAGTATGCCACGAATCTCTCAGAGAGGTGAGTGGGGGAGGAGATGGAGGGAAGGTAAAAGAGAGGGTTAGAGGCCTGGAACGTCTTGGTAAAGAGATTAAAGCGACGCCCCAGGCTCGCTTTCCAACATCGTGGACAAGGTGATGTCACCACACGTTTGATACGGGATCCCCCATCGAGATAGGGAAGGAAGGGAGGAGAAGCAGAGCAAGAGACTGGGTAGGGTGAGGGATTGGAGACGAATTAGGTAGGAGGGAAGAAAAGTAATAAGAAACTGAGTTACACACATGGAACAAGCAGAGGGAGGGCGAGAGAGACACTGGGGAGATAGACTGTGCAGCAGCAGGAGGAAGAGGGGAGGGGAAAGTTAGACGGACAAGCCCGAAGCAACTTTTCTCCTCTGTCTTTTCTCTGAAAGGGAATACACCAGAAAACAGGAAAGACACTGGAAACCATTTCAATTTCTTTAGACACGTGAATTATGGATTAATTAAATCACACGTTTGTGGATCTAAGGACAGTTGAAGGTAAGTTGTGACTTTTAAAAGCCGATGCTGTTGAAGGCTTGGGTTTCAGTGAAGAAACGTTAGTTTAGGTAGACTCTATGATGAGGGGTGTGAGCTTTATGGTGCAACCAGCCATAAGGGCATCAAAGTGCATGTCCTATATGAAGGTCTCTAAAAAAGGACCAAGTCTAGAGTATAAAACTCCTAACTTTAGAATTATAAAGTGTCTTTTCTCCCAGTGGACGTAATTATCTTCTCAGCGGACCTGACAAATGGTAACTCTTTCTCTCTGCTGGATTTTTACAACAAACTCTTGAACCATTTTAATAGAGTCGCTGCTGGCACGAGTGATGCTGGGTTCCTCTTTCATATCTGAGCCAGGCCTGGACACAACTCAGGCTGGGTTGTTATTGTAAATCATCCTGGCTTCGTTTCAAGCCCTGCAGCATTGAAAAACCTTCCAACATCCCTGTTTTCCTTTGGGTCTGCTTCATGGACATCCTTTATAGTCATGCCTGAGCGAAGCACTGCAAAAAATTCAAGACCATCCTTCAAATTTTAACCCCTTTCTTCTAATTGGGAAGGAAAATGTAAGCTGCTGGAGGAAGCCGGAGTACCACATCTGCTTTGCTCATTACCCAGTGTCTTTGGATCCCTTGCATCCTGTGTGCACAAACATGCACGGACACACACGGAACACCTCCGAGGGTTTTTTGGGGAATCTCCAAATCCCCACAAGTTCTGTTTTAGACATTATCACCTGCATAAATCAAGCGCTTCATACAAACATGTGACTAGTCTTGTATAGAGCAGAATCCTCTCTACACCGATGGGTTTGGCTCTTTGATTTGAGCATCGACTCAGCTGTTGCTGACTGGAGACGCTAAAGGCTAACCGTGACCACAGCTTTCCAGACTGTACCAGCCTGCAGCAACTTCTAACATCCACTTGACTCTCTGCTTATTCGGGTCAGCAGCGATGCGCACGTTAAGGATCAGAAATGTAAATTGAAGCTGAAGAGAGGCAGCAGGTCACCTGTTCACTCCAGGCAGAGTATACCATGCGTGGCATTGGCTCAGGGCCAACCAGGTCATGTCATCAGAGTTGGCCTCACTTTGCATCATTACTTCTGCAATTTTGGACTGAAGCATCTGAGGCATTGGGACTTGTAGCCTTGAGCAGTTATGTGGAAGGATGAATGTGTTGAACAATTTACCACTTTTTCCTGGCCTGCTTTTCACCCCTCGCGTTTTCAACACTGCCTTGAAGGTAAGACTAGTAAGAACTTGCCTCATTCTGTCTCATTCGAGTGTCCACAAAGGTTGGATGTGTTACCTTTGTGGAGTTTAACCGTTCCTGTTTCTTCGGGTCAGTGGACATCTGTTATTTTTCCTCAAGGTTTTGAGAGCATCTTTTATTTACTTTTATGTGTTCATAGTTCTCTGTGGTAACACGCCTGCAGGGCACCCCCGTTCGGCCTGAAGCAGGTCCAACGCTTTTAAATTGAACATACAAGTTTCTGGTATCACAGCTCAACAAACTGAGTGATTGACAGCTTACAAAAGGTGAACAAGCTGACATATTTTTATTTTTCCTTTTAATCTGAAAAAGAAGTTAATCTCCAGGAATCAGGAGAATGTAACAGAAGTCTGCAGGACATTAAATCACATTGTCCACAAACAGAAAGAAATATCTCAATTACTTTATGCACAAAAGTCCATGGAACACAGAACCCTGGAAGTCCTCCATATTGTTTCCAGCCTTGTGAAAAAGCTGGACCAGAACGGTCTGGCACACGAGGTTCTGGTTTTAGGGGAATGGAACCTTCCCTCTTTAATTATCTTCCCCGTGTCTCTTTAACACAACCATGAGGTTCACATTGGTTGTTTGGGGTAAAGTGCCTCAGCACCTGGAGAATGCATGCATGACATCATTCCACTTAGTTCTAGTTCAAAGTTCTAATTAAAAGTCAAACATTTTAAGGTGAGCTGAAACGGATGAAATTCTAACTTATTTTAGTGTTTGTAAAAATGACACTTTGGGTTTGGTCGTATATATTTATGTTGCAGCCAGCTTGAATGAGGCTGAATGGAAAAAGCAAAGATCAAACATAATGTGTGAAACTCTATGTTCGGTTACCATGTGTTGAACTGTGTGAATGACATGTGCTGCATAAACACAGCTGCCTTGCCAAGTCACCACAGAGCTCAGCGCGTTTAAAACGGACCGATTAAGTTTTTCTTTGTGTGTCAACCATCTTGAATCTGGTTGTTTCTGAACATTTACCTGCTGCTGGTAAACTGGTATTTCCAAATATGGCTCAAGTCTGAAATAAATGTTCTCAGACCTGGGCTTCACCACTATCACCCCTCCCATTGGCTGTGACTGATACGTGCTGCATCCAACAGCTTTGTGGACACCTGCAATAGCGTTTCAATACAGACTATCCATTTGTTACATTTCCTCAGCGTGACCACGAGATGCACCATTCTGAGTCCTCCAGTTTAAAGACCCTGTGCATGCACCAATCAGAGTAATGGGCTTGTCAGGGACTTGCACAAACCAGCCAGAGAAGCACTGCTGATGATTCTGAAAACTTTGAGAAGCTTCAAAATTAACATGAACTTAACCTAATAAATGTAAATTAGTCAGAATGACACCAGCACAAGACACACATCATCCAAAAACATTTCAGACACACCAGGTTCAACTTAAATAGTGACTGATCAGACCACTCTACAAACAAGAGGGGAACAATTAACATACAATTAACACACACATCCTCACACACACACTCTAACCAGTCTAATCAATTCAGGTAACTCAAATGAACTAAATCATAATTACAAACTCCCTACCCAGAACAGAAAATATCTAGATTAAATGAAACACATGCATACACATGAATCTCCCCTCCCTTGGGAGTTGGTAGATCCCAGGAGTGCCGATTAGGCTTCCTGAGGAGATGAGCTGCAGGTGTGAGACTCCATGGGCAACTCCAAGTCACTGGTAACTCAAATAGAAGTACAAAATGAACACATGCATTCATAAACAGAAGACTGATTGTGTGCACATCAACCAGTCATCCTGGACAGAACACAGAGAACAAACATTACCAGAAGACCATGTCCCTGAGGTGACAGACACTGCTGTCACAGGGCTGGAGAACATGTGAAACATGGAGCTGGAACAGTTTCCACTGCATGAAACAGTGAGCCATCACTGTACCAGCGTCCTCATGCAACAGTTCAATTAGCTCAGATTTAATCAGCATATGTATGTGCTTCAAGTAGAAATTAAGTGTTGTTTCACTAGAGATTATCACAGAATCAAGAGTGTTTGACCAAATTTTCAGCCACAAGCACCTTGTTTGCCTTCTAGTGGAAGCCTGAGCCCCTACAGTGCAGACTGAGTAGAATCAGGTTCCCAGCATTGGACGAATCCTGGCAGGAATCGTGTGTCGATGTGTCTTTTTCATGCTTTGCAAAGTCCATGTCTGATTGTGAGGCATGGACTTGGACAGGAGAGCACATGGGTTAAAATGGGTCAGGGCTCTCCAGGGCTCAGCTCTCCAACAATAACTTTGCATCTATGTCCGCTGGCTGCACCTCTGCTCAAGCAAGTTTAAAGAATGCCTGCTCTTTAAAAAGCTGCTGATGTAACTGGTACGCCGTTTGAAAACACATATTAAGCCTGTCAGCGTGAAGGAGTTCAGAGGTGAGGGGAGGAAGTACATCTAGAGTGCTTTTCTCAGATTATTGCAAAATATGTTGTTCAAAGGGACGTGGCACTGATTTACTCAGACAGCACAGGAAGAGGGAGCTGGGTGAAGGCTGCTCACAAAGATGTCAGCAGGAAAAGCAGCGAATAGAGAGCTCCCTATAGACCGGTCAACTCTATTGAAGGCAATCAGCTGATTGAACAGATGCTGTGGGATGTGCTGCTCAGACCTTTAAACCACCAACATGGCATTTGGCAGCTATGGCTTATCCTGTGGGAGGTGGGATGACATCACTGAAGTGTAGCAGTAGAAGAAGAAGAAGAAAATATCATTTCTATAGCGCCTCTCAAGATAAAAATCACGAGGCGCTTCACAAAAACAAAAATAAAAAAAATTGTAAAAATATAAAAAAGCATTTCGAAAATGTTTAAAAATATATTTAAAATGAGCAAGAATAAGCAATTGCCATTTAAAAGAAAAAAATGTTAAGAAAGAGAGAGAGTGAACAGAAAAGAGGGAAATCAGTGGATCCTGAGGAAGGTGGAATAGGTGGGGAGAGCAGAATAGAGAGTGGTGAAGAAGGTCATACAAAAGCCAGCATGAACAAGTGAGTCTTCAGCTGCTTATTAAAGAAGACCACTGAGTCCACTGATCTCAGGCTCAGGGGGAGAGAGGTCCAGAGTCTGGGGGCCACAGCAGCAAATGATCTGTCACCTTTGGTCTTTAGCCTGGTGCGCTGCACAAACAGTAGGCTTTGATCACTGGACCTCAGGGACCTGCTGGGGGTGTAGGGACTAAGAAGATCACCAATGTAAGATGGTGCTTGTCCATGTAAGGCACTATAGACCAGAACCAGGATCTTGAAATGAACCCTGAAGTTGACTGGCAGCCAGTGAAGCTGGAGGAGAAGCGGGGTGATGTGGGTGTGTTTGGAGGACTTGGTCAGAAGCCGAGCACAGGCATTCTGAACCACCTGTAGACGGTTCAGGGAGGTTCTGCTCAGACACATGAAAAGAGAGTTACAGTAGTCTAAGCGTGAGGAGATGAAGGTGTGGATAACTGTCTCAAGTTCAGAGCGGGACAGAATGGGACTCAGCTTAGCAATGTTCCTGAGATGGAAGAAGGAAGAGCGAACAAGAGAACTGACATGAAAATACAGGGTGAGAGCTGGGTCAAAGGTCACGCCAAGATTCCTGACAGAAAGTTTGGTGTGGGAAGTAAGCTGACCAAGAGAGTCTCTGACTTTGGGAACCAGCTTGTCTGGGGCACAGATGAGGATCTCAGTCTTATCTTCATTCAG